AAAAGGTAGTTTAGTGCCGAAATTCCGGCACAAGACTAATAATTTAGCTCGTAAGACTTTTACATTACCCGAACCTGTAGACCTCACCCTGCCGCTATAATGCGATTAAACAGTTCAACGCACTCGAGGAAAAATGAAACAACAAAAGAAATCGAAAAGCCGTTTCGCGACGTTAAGGGAATGCCTCCTAGCACTAGCTTATTCCACCTCTACCTCTAACATGATTCAGTCTTCTCCACTTGACTCCTCTTCCTACCTCCAATTTCTAGTATGCTCCTTATCGATTCACTCTCATCACTTGAAATGGGAGGAGCTATAGAGGAACCGCATCTCCGGGTATCACTTTAAAATGAGTTGATCGTAGCAGTGGTCAGTAGATGGAGCCCTGGTCCTGTCGCGAGGGGGCAACGCAGCTGTAAAAGTGGTACAGTCTACATGCTTGTAGGCAGTACTGGAAAGTCGCAGACAGAACCTCCATTAAATGAACGCGAGGCAATGAGAGAGAATCTTCTAATTCATAAGAAGAAGAGAACATTAACAACATAACTACTGCGTTAGCTCTCGAACTCTAAATATCCAGTAGTGCTACATTTATTACATAAAAAATTCGGAGAACGGAAATTCAGAGGTAACTCCTCATAATGTTGAAGAGATAACCGCAGAGAGAGCAGTATAAGAGCATAAAAATCGGAGCTATTTGGCAGGGCATTTTGCACTTTCTTTAGTTTCTTTTGCTACTTCGTATGAATTAACAAGATGCACCCGTTGGGATCTGCTAAGTCCTGTGGGCTGCTAACTACTATAAGTGAGCCACTTTGTTTACAGGAAGTTGAGTCTTGACTAGGCGACCTAACTTTGAGCTTTGCAACGTGCCATTTGATGTCCCCTCCGCCTGAGAAGAACTGCGTCCAAAAACCAGGATGAACACTAAGCAAACTAATACAAATAAACACGATGAACCGTACCCGCATTGCTTTTCGTCGCTCTTCCCGCAGTGCTTCGCTAAGAGGAGGTAGAGGGATTCGATCCGGAACCGGTGCAAGTGCTTGACTTTTCTTGTTGTCCTTCAACTCTTTTCCTCGCGTTTTCTTCTTTTCAATTGTTTGTGACACGTCGTCTTTGAGAACACCGTAGTACATCTTCAACAAGCCTATTAAGGAATAGAAGCCAGGAATTGTCATTTTGAGACAAATACCTTGTGTCTCTTCTCGTTTCTGGAGACTTGACCAAGTATTCCACCCATTTGTGACTCAACGCTTGATCTCAACTTGGAAATGACATCTGATGCTGAATAAAACGGTCCGGGTAAAAGAAATGATCGCCAAAGGAGAATAAGCCAACAATCATATTATTTACCTTCTATAGTAATGTGGTCCTTAGCAATATTTTTAATCGTTGGCGTTCGTGCTAGAGGAATTTCCAACTGTTTTGATTGATGACTTAGGACATTTTCACCAGAAATGGATTTTTCCTAAAAGTCCAGGCAAGTCTGCACGGGAAAATTCGACTGGAGAAAAACTACAAAAAGAAGACTTACATCAAAAGCTGAACATAAGTGTCAGCTTGGGCCTGATGCGCAGACTGAATCCGTTCGAGCTTGTAGACCAGTTCCTCGTATGGTGTCGGTATTCGTTTGCAATATCGTTTGAAGAATTCTCTTGCTGCAATACATGACCGTACTTTTTCATACAGGAAAACGCCGCATGAAGCGTATCTACTGAGGTGATTTTAAGGTCTGGCAGTATATCAGACACTGTCTATGGCTTACGAGTCGCGACAAAGGAACAAGGATATGGCAGAGGGCTCGGCGACGGGGGAGGGGAGAGGGGGAGACTTCGCACTTTTTTTGCTCCAATAGGTTGGTTCGCAGTGTTGTCTCCGCGCAACCTCTCTTGTGAAATTGGAGGCAAGTATGGTCGAGACACATGTAAGCTGCGGTGCAACACTTGTAGGCTCATGAAATAGCTCTCTAGATAAGTCTACACATCGACGGGAAGTAGCAAAAGTGCAAAATGCCCTCCAGCGCCGAACTGCACCAGAATATCGCACATGGGCCAGAAAGGAATGTAATTTTGAGGGTTGAGGGTGTGACAAAGTAAAAGATCTGTAGGACGCAACCGAGTAAAATCTCCACACAGGGTACACATGAAGGTGAAAAGTGTACTACACTACATAAGAGGTAGAAGACTCAGGGCGCAGTTCGGCTGCAGGGGTGGGGCGGGGGGCATTTCGCACAGTCGCTGCCTCCGCTTGTCGTGTTCGCGCTCTAGAAATAGTTAGGTGCTCTCTTGAGGGTTGACGCTTCTACAAACTTCAGCTGTTACCACTGTTCACAAGACTTTTCAAATCTCTATTTAATGGCTTAACACGACAATGGTAAACAGCGAAAGTGCGAAATGCACTCCCCCCCTCTACCCCCTCAGAACTGCTTCAAGACTCATAATCTGCATATGAGAAGAGAAACTTTGGACGCGGGAAGCGCGAAAAAAAATTTGCGGGAGACAGAAAAAAAAACGCAGAATGCGCAATGTGTTTGTCACTTGGAAGAGCAGAGTAGGTGTAGTGGCAAGTAGGGGCTCTTATTGAGTTCCCGGTTCAGAAGAATTCTGAATAAAGAAGCTTGAGAATTCTGAATAGGTTCCCATCCAGGCCAAGCCATCTCTTCGAAGTCTTCTTTCGAGCCATCTTTTAGTACAAAACCTAGAAAGGTAAAGGAAGGTAAAACACTGAGTTCTACATATGGCGCCCCCCCCCCCCCCTCCGCAAGTCATCAAGCTATCGGTTAGGGCTAATCACATCCAAAAGGCACTACGATTTCGAACGGAATAAAATGCGAGGCGCACTCCAGAATGACTGTTCAACTCCTACGACGCACCCTTAATCTTTCAACAGCTTTAGCATGCGTACTGCGAAATCCAGCCATCTCGAGCATTTATGTCACAAATAAATAAATAAATAAAAAATAAATAAATAAATCAATAAATTACCATTAGCTACGGAGTTCTCCATGAGCAGTTTGATATAGGAATGCGCAAATATCGGATACAACATAAGGCTGAAATTCCGCTTGAAAAAAGTCGAACGACGAATCCACAAACTGTATGAGCGAATCGAATTCGGACATCAGAGCCTCACTAAAAATAGAGCTAGGGGTTATTGATTCAGACTCTAAAGGAATAAGTCTCACGCATACCCGTTATCTGCTGCCCGTTTTAGCTATAGATTTTTTATGCAACTGCATTTTTCCGAATGATTGGTGCACCATATTTAGAAAAAAGGACTCGCCCTTTGTATGTGCTTTACTGTCAATACTGGGTATTTACACAGTCACGAGAACAATCCATCTCATATAACAACGAAATGCCACGTCAGGCAATAGTGATTTCAGTGATCCACTCCACAAGAGAAACAGTTCCCTCACTGCACTCTCATATACATAAACTTAATATTGTATCCCTTAATATTGTATCCACAACCTATTTCTCACACTTGATTCATACTGAATACGGTAGCGGACCTCTGCAGTTTTAACGTGGTTGTAGGGGGGAAGGAGAGACCACTCACCAGCACCTCCGCATCCATTTATCTAATCAGGGCTTATGCTTAGTGGAGACTATGACCGCTGTGAGAGACTATCCTTTGGCACTCTGGTCGTCTGCGCTCTGAGCCTAACCCTCCGTTAGGGGAAGAAACTTCCACCGGATAGTAAAAAGACGCAGAACCGCTGCGTCATTTCCCCTAACGAAGGCAAGACAGAAGCAAGTGTTTCCGCCCAATACGTCAGCGCTCTCTTCCCTGAACCACTTATTGGGCTTGGAGTGTAGACGACTAGAGCTATTGCGGACTACCCCATTTTCTGGCCTTCCTTACCCGCTCTCCCGATTGAGTGGCGTTCTGACAACAGTGACTTTATATGCTCCAGCTTCCACCCAGGACAAGTATCTCACCCATCCCGGACTCTCCTACCTCGCTCACCACATGTTCTTTCGTACCGTTTCAATGCTTGGCATTTCCTCTATCTGTCTGCACCATCTCTATACAACTCTGGTTGTCTGCACGCTAAGCCTAACCCTTCGTTAGGGGAGAAGCTTGAAATTGGTTAGAGGAAAAGGCGCAGAAGCGTTGCGCTGGCAAGGCAACATAAATTTTCTCCATGAAGGAAAAGGAGTTATATTGATTGGTGTTCAAATAAACTGTGGGAAACAGCAACAGAACGTTTTGTTAAATGTCACTTACCTGCTAGGAAAATTGGCCGCTGCGGCATCATCACCCATCACAAGAAGATTATTTGCTTCCTTCGACAGAGCTTCTTCAGTTTCCTACAAATAAAAAGCCGCTGAAAGTCCAAGAAGCCGCTAGGTATTATATAAACTTACTGATAGTCCATTCTTCCTCAAGAACGTCATCAAAATTTGTAAAACTTCTGGTGTGAGCTGCTTCTCGCTCAATTCATCAATTCCACCTTGGTTATTTGGTGCTAGGGGTGTACCACCACTCATTGGCAGTGTGGGACCCATATGGGAAGGAGGCCCGTTGGTGTCCATGGTTGCACGAGATCACGATTGAATTGGTTTAAATTCAAGCGCCTAAGCGAACCTTGTGGACCTGTAATCGTTACGAAATGAGAAATCACGACGATGGCCTATTTTTAGAAAACTAGCGGAAAGTTTACAGAGCTTAAAAACAACAGATATAATTCTTAATGCATGTTCGGACTGAAGAGAAAGCCGGCAGAGCGACATCTATAGTCCCAAATTATTGGTTCCTCAGCATAAATCCAAGGAATTAACGACTGGTCCCTTTCACAAATAGTTCCCGTCAAAGATAGTATACTCCAAACGTACAAACTGAATAAACAGCAAACTCTCTAAATAAAAACAAACACGAAGGAGAAGACGAACACGTAGTAAGACGGCAATTGGTGTGTGTCTTGTGCACCCAGAAAGCTAACGCTTGATTTTCCGGATGTGACAATATAGCTGTTTATTTATTTATTTAAAACGTCACAACGAGGTAGGTCCCTCAAACAAAGCCGAACAAATATTTGATATTATTGGAGCTACAAAAACTGTTCCAATTAATAAGAAAAGACCGAATGATAACAGTCAAAGACACGCAGCAACAACTATGAAGCTTTTGAAAAGGAAACCCAAGGCTCTAGTCACTGGGGATTTTTCACATTAATCAGACTTCTTTTTTCAAAACAACTGCATAGATCGGTACCAGCCTTCATACTGGCAAAAAGTTGAGATAAGCAACCCTCATATTGCAAACAATAAACAAACAAACATAACCTAATTTGAACGGGATAGATTCAGTCAGAGCAATAGCTTAAGAAAAAGCCTGGTTTTCATAACTGTTTCCGCAACATTTACGTTGAACTACTTTCCAGGAAGAATCCTTAACAATCAGCTCATTTGCGGATAAGCATAAGCCGCCTTGACGAATGAGTCACCTTGTCGGATAAGTCGCTTCAATAAATTGCTTGCAAGAATTTCTTGGAAATCAACCTCTTGGCGGCTGGATAATTATTAGAAGGATAGCGGAAAATTGTGCCCAAGTCACTACATGTTCTTACAATTCGTTATTTAGACAGCAAGAAAATATCGGTCCTAACACGACAGCCTGTCAATTTTTCTACGATCAACTGGCAAAATAGCACCGAATAACTGGATACGCTAGGCGAATTTTGACCGGCATGTGTCAGATGGTCAGAAAGCTACAAGCGAGATTCATAACGGGATGACGTCGATCGGCGTGTATTCAGAAGTGCGACGAGGACGAGAGAGCACCAGCGACTGTGAGGCGCTGACGGCCGCAGAATCGATATCGTTGCGGTGGCAGCGACTAGTAGTAGCTGCTACAGCTCCGATCGTCGTCCTCGAATTTACTGATGGACACCGTCAGTACTTCAGAATCACCCCCCACAGGGTCAAGTGGCCACCACCAGTAGCACTCCGATCACGGCGCCACCTCCGACGTTGACCGCCAGCGATGAACCACGTGTTGAAGTGTCAATCGTTGGAAGTCCTGAGGTGAGCAGCACTTCGAAAAAGTCTGTCATTTTAGATTAAGAATATTTTTATCTTTTTCTTTAGATATGAATTACCCACGAATTCAGTTTTGTAGCAAAATTCTAGAAAACTTCGCTATTTTTTGCATATCAGTAATGCTTGAATGTCTGCCATTCTCGAGTAATTTCCTTGTTCCATAGAAATGAATGCTGGAGAATTTTCGGCAGTTCTGAAATCTATGAGGCTCGTTATTTATGCTCTTAATGGCAGTCATTAGCTATAAGTTGGCTTGGTAGACAAGGTACAGCATTGATGTGCGAAGTGGTGGTGTAGTACGACCCCCCTTCCCCAACGCCTAATTACTGTTTTCCCCACATTTCCCAGTTTTCCCAAAATTTTTCCGTTGAGCGGGGAGGGGGAGGAGTATGTACACATGAAATAGGGAAAATCACAAGGAAAGTCAACAACCAGGAAATTTTTTCGCAAAGGGCGGCAATATCCTCTAAAGGCCACGTACGATCCCGCCGCCCCACGAAGACGACTCCCACCCCCCCTTTTGTGTTTCACACAAGATGGGCGGTAGATATGATCAGCTCCTTCATTCCTCAGTCACCCCTTTCACCTTTTATACAACAGTCTTATTTAATGTGGATGCTGGGGCGGGTCAAGGGAGGTTGGGTTGGGCGACGCCAGCGTGGGTCTGCCCAGTTGTTTGCTCTTCTTCAGAGTTGGTGCAGAATGTTCTGGCTTCCAAACCCAGCCTCATTTACACGCAGCGAACAAGACTGTAGATAACCCTGACCCTAACATAAATCAAACAATAGTATCGTCAAGTCGCGATCATAATCTGGGATATAATATCATTATGTGTGAAAAGGCGGTGCTACTACGACAGCCGGAATCCCCTCCTACAGTACCACCTTTCCTCATCCTGCCTACCACCTTCCTAAATTTTCCTGAGTTCATACTACTTCCTCCTGGAGATGGTGTGGTGGCAAGTGGCACGCCTCCACCCGCACGGGCCGGAGGTCAAACCCTGGATAGGCTCTCGCCCAGGCTAATCAAGCCTTCTACCCTCCGGTACCGGTTACTTGGTGCCAGGCTAGTCCGTGAAACGATGGACAGCGCACATTGCTCATTGCTCGGCTCTCGCAGTTAATTTATAGAGCTGTCATCTACAACATGCCTTTACGACTCTTAACGGAAGTGGAATACGTAACGCATACCAAAAAGAATGGATCACCACTGAGCGCTCTATTGGTGCAGTTCGGCGACGGAGGGGGGGGTGGTTAAGGAGGGCTAGGGCATTTTTTGCAGTCTCCTCCTACTTCCCGTTGACGTGTCGACCTACCTAGACAGCATACTCCCGAGTTGACAGGTTTTACCATGATGGCTTGACGACCTCGCTCCAGCTTCACAAGAGTACACAGGTTTCACCAGAGTGAGACTTGTAAACCGGAACCAGGGAAGCAATTATAGTACGAAACGCCCTCCCCCGTTGCTGAAATGCGCCCACTTTATTTATTATTTATAAACTGTTATGAGTAACAATCTCGAGTTTTAGTAGAGAAAGAGAGGTAGTATCCTGACGCACATCATGCCAGTTTCATTAACCGTAGAACCGACTCAGGTCTGGGTTAATACTGCTTCCAGTCTCTCAAAAAGGGTCGCGCTACAGCAGTGCAGAACCATGCAGACGAGGGACGAGGCCACTAACGGCTGCGTTTTCTGCCAGCCGTAGTTGCTACCCTGGACCGGCTACTACTGGTAGAAAACGCAGCCTTGGGTGGGCTCGTTCCACGCCTCCTTATATGGCCTGCCCCCTCGCTTCTCATAGCTGCGCCATGCACTTTATTTTTCGAGCGAACATCACATTCATAATGAACTTCAAAGCAAATTTTTCCTGTTCAGGTGTTCGACGCACAAGAGGCTGTCACCGTCATAAAAACGTCAGGAGCGTCACCAGGGAGTCACGAAGAAAGACTTATCGAAAGATGCGATGTGGCAGCATCGCCATCTGATCCTCGCCCACCCAAGAAACGCTATGGTAGTTCAGACGCGGGTAGCGTAGACGTGCCTCCTGCCGAATCCCCCAGTGGTGCACAACTACCTCGAGCTGCTCCTCCGCCGTCTGCATTCTGTGACGCGCGTCAGGTACCGACAGGTAAGCAACGAGTCTATTAAAATTGTATTGTTCCTCGCTTTCTGGGCTGATTGAGAGGTGCAATGACAAGCGGCGTTACTTACCACGGACACGTTCCGACTCAAATTTCGGGTCAGCTCCCGCTCAGGCCAACTAAGCATTACATACCTGGGGGGGGAGGGGGGGGGGTGGTAGTGAGCCCGTTAGTAGAAATTTATGAGAAAGCGATGAACATGCAAAAATTGAACCTTCGAAATTGGAAAATGAAAGCTGTTAGCAACCAACCGTAGGCTGCTTCGAGAGAAATAATATGAATACTCAACAACCAACAAATATTTATAGAAAAACGGAGAGGCGCAGTGGCAAATGGTGCCGCTCACCATGCATACGTGGGGCTCAAAACTAGAATCACCCCAGACCAGCCAAGGCTTATATCCTTCGGGGTCGGTTTACTGATTCCAGTCGTGTTTGGACGGCTGAAAAAGACCGCTCTGTACATTTTCTGGCCTCACGATTCATTAATTTATGGTCC